AAAAATTGTGGCAAGCAAGAAAAAGAGCAAAGTGAGTTTAGTTATGTGCCATTTGTTGATTGTTTGAAAAAAAAACTCATATATTCGACTAATCATAAAATATTCTTGATAGTTTTACACATGTAGTTAGAAAATAGTGACAAGTAAATAAAAGACAAAGTAATTTGTAATTGTGACCAATCATTTCACTTGCAAGAAGGAACATTATGTTTGTTTTTAGCAGTAGTTCATGTTTAAAATAAACTCTGTGATAGTCGTAGATTTATATTTAATTTAATTATGAACTGTTCTAAATTATAATAAAATAAAAAAATTAAGCTTACATGGAGTTTATATAGAATTTCTCATATATTCAATTTTTATTATTATTTTAGATAAAAAAATTATTATCTTATAATATTTTATCTTTACGTTAAAGTATATGATAGTAATTAAATTTTCAATTAGATTTAATAATTAAATTAATATTGCAAGAGAATCAATTTTATTTATCAGTGAAAGAATATTTTTATAAGTATAAAAAGTGTGAAGTTTCTCAAATTATAACAATTTTCGAAGAAGTTTTGTAGTTCTTTTTTCTTTCTTAGTTTTCATCCCTACAACTTAATTATTGTTGTCCCAAGTTAATAATGTAACGTAAGAGGGAGGGGAGGGGAAGGAGGAGAGCAAATCGAGTTTCATATATTTTTCTAAACTTTCAAACTCGATCCAATTACCTTATAACATTTAGTTTTTTAAAAGTTAATTTTTGATTAGCTTTGATAATAATGTATTGATTGACAAAATTTTAACTTCAGCTTCTATTTTGGTGAGACAAATTCTTACTCTCCCACTCTAGAAATGTTCTCCTTTGGGTTTTGTATTTCTCATAGTCACCATGGTCGCACATATATCCTAATAAGTGGCATCAACTTATAAAATTAAAATGATCAAAATGCTAACTAAGTTGAATTGGAAATTGAGATGTTTCCATATGTATCAACTTACATGCTAAAATGAAAAAAACAAAAACTTTAAGATTTCAACGAGTTACTTTGATGTCAAAGTTAACAAGAGTACCGGAAAAGAATAAAATAACAAAATTTTTGTAGTGAAAATAAATATACGAATTATCTCTCAACACCCATTGGAGTAGTGCAATAATGTACATGATTTTGTTGTAGCTTTGTTAATAGCAAAGAAAATATCTTGACTTATATTGCTTGGTAGCTTGTTGGTTGTTAGTCCATGATCGCGTTATATTTCTCTCAATTATTACCATGTAATTGTCACGTGACTCTAATTACATTGAATACAATAACATCTTCAATTTGAGCTACATATTTACATTTAATCTTTAAAAAAAAAAAAAAGAAGTTTTAAGTTTTTCGGCATTTGAAGCAGATTTGCTGTAAAAGTCAATTACTTGATAGTCTTCTTTAGCAAGTGTAGTAACTCCATAATCTTTTTTGTCTATTTGTCGAAAAAAGTAGTACGAAACAGTCTGCCATATTATATTTTGGGTATATCTTCTTGGGTGAAGACATATAAATGAGACTGCCATTAGGAAGGTTTCAGGCCATTATCCCTCTACTAATCATATTTTACATGTATCTTACTATTGTAATTATTAATTTCACAATTGTTGTCGAATGTTTTTCTCAATCACATTCCCTCAATTAAGTGGAATTGCCATAAAAGACCAAATTATAATATTTATGAATGTGTATTATGCGATAATTTGATGGTTGATTTTGTTTTAATGTGATACCCAAAACATTTTTATTAGAAAACAAATTTAACCTCAGATTCTGCTGACGCATTCTACTTGTTAAAGACGATCTCATACATTTTCTTCTTAACTAAAACTTTTACCCCCTTTTTTAACAGAAACTTTTGAATTCAGCAAATTGTGAATTAGGTTAAAAAAAACTTTCTTATGATTATATAACTACTAAATTTATTAAGAGGTACTTGCAATATATACAAGAAACAAATATCAAATCACTTCCATTAATCGAAACATCATAACCACAATTCTCCCTTTGGTGTCTTACCCATCCAAAATAAACGCTTTCACCTCCCAATTTCCACCAATTCCGTTCAGAACCCCACTCCACATTTCTGAAACATAACCAGAAAATTGTTCACTCTCCATCAACATTCAAAGCGTAAACAACTCCTGATGTCAAATTGGAGATGTAAACTGCCTAGTGTCAAGAAATTTTCTTCAGTGTGAGAAATCATTTTCTTTCTAGATGGCTTTTCTCATCTCATTGACTTTCCATACATATCAAGGTCAACATAGAACTTCAGTTCGTACTTAACTGTAATCTGTGGAACGACTGAGATGACAAAATCGAGCAGAAAATGGGCATCTTCCTCGGTCACTAGAGTTCCCACAACAAGCAATTAACCCTATAGGTTGTCAATCTGACATCCAGAAGGGATGTTTTGATCAAAACACCAGCCTAGCAGAAGCAAAAATTATGGCTGCAGCACTTGACCTCAAACAAATGGAAGCTTCCTCATTTTATAGGAATATCCTGCATATGAATAACACGGGAAATATTTCCTGATATTCTTTATGCCATGATGCTGTCAAGTGTTCGAATATACTCAGTTCTTGGCTTATGCTGCTGGTGGGATTATTAAGCAATCTACAACATAAGCCATGGTGAAAATGGAATGTTTCTGCAGCGATGTAATTAATCAGTCTACAAAAGTGATGGTGACAATGACAGTGGTGCTGGAGGGATATAATTGATCGTGCTAATGCCCATGGTGCTGGAGGAATATAATTAATCTGCCTATGACATAAATGATGGTGACAATGGCAATGGTAATGGTACCCGTAGATACAATATGATTTATGGAGTTAACCATAGACAATTTGTGTGAGGATACCTGATTGTCTAGAATATAAGTGATGATAATAATAGCGTTGATGATAGTACCTTAGATACAACATGATAAATGGTATTAAGCAAAAACAATTCTGCTTTGAAGTGAAGCTCAAAAAAACTTACTTGTGGGATGTCAAAATTGTACAAGATCTTTTTATAGAAGTCATGTAATGTTTAATTCTACGATTCAATGACATTACCTATCGTTGTGAAGCCGTTGATGTGGTTCAGATCAGATATTCAAATGGGATTAAGTAGAAGTCATGCAATGCGTAATACTAGTGTAGGACCACATCACCTTTGGGTGTGAAGCAGTTTGCAGTTTGAATCAGATATAATCAAATGGCATTAGGCAGTAGAGCACGTTACTTAACATATGCACCATGGCTCTGTGCAATGTGGTCAATGTGAGGGGCAAGTAAACAAATTTGACAAAACTGCAGACTAATTAATGCACTTCTACATATGATAAAATTCTCTGAATTGCTACCAAGTTATCCAGGCATAAACACATGCTGACGAATGCATGTCACAACTATTAGGTATAACATGACCACATGGTATGTTCATGAGATCACTATGTGCACCCATCACATGAAGAAATGCTAATGCTGATGTTGACAATGAAATGGATGCATGCAACTGCTGCAGGATGCATCCTATCATATACTTGTCGGAGGATAAAAGAACAGTATACATCCCCTTCAAGCTACTGGTAGGTCATAGCTGGCGGGGCTCCATTAGCACCAGGTGAAGCAACAGGGTGATTTCCATCCTTTCTTTTCCCAAATGGATTCTTTGAATATCTATTTTAAAGTCAAGAAACACAGAACTAAAATGAAAACAAGCTGCTTTCTAAGAAAAATATCTTCCACATTGAATAGCTATACATTACTTGCTCACAACTTGAGCAATTCGTCAAACCAAGATTTAAATGGCAAAAGATGTATAAAGAAACTATGGTTAATTTGGAATACAGGTGGAAAATTTTAATAAGACCAGCTAGGAACTTGAAGTTTCCAGGTCAGACGGTAAATGGAGGAATCAAATTACAACCTAATTCCAGGTGATTTTTAGCAATTCAGAAGTTCATTTAGAACCAATCTGACCAAGGGTGAGAATCAAATACTTAAATATGCATCTCGACAACACATTTTGGAGTCGCAAGGATTATGATGAATGAACAAGGAACGAACAAGAAGAAAATATATACCATCAAATTAGAAAGAAAAGTACCAAAAGGATACTGAATTCGCATACCAACTGAACCAGAACTGGGGATAACAGCACCCTGCAAAGTGTGATGCACATTGGTTGCACTATTCACATCCTGCAATTTGGTCAGGTAAAAATTAATAATAACTGATCCTATAATAGCATAGAGAGTTCATTCTGCAGTACTCAGGAAAATAATCAATCCAACATGTTCTAATAGTTGAATTCTAGTAAGAAACAACTTACCTCAAACTCAATAAAGCAAACAGTATGCCTTTCTTGTCTCAAGATCTTCATTTGCTTGAAACCAGGTTGTCTGCATTTTCCAAGTCTATGTGTTCAGAGATATTCTTGTTGCTAGCAAGAAACTTTAAATATTGATTAAAAAAGACAGACAAAAGCAACTTAGGAGTCTTAAAATCTAGAAACGAGCAGGGCATCCTTACGCGCTGAAAAGGCCTCTCAGTTCTTCCTCGTTTATATTCTCTCCAAGATTTCCAATAAATAAGGTATTGCAAGGAGGATTATCCTTTGTATTCTACATGAAAATGAGAAATTCACTCAAACAAAAAATTGAATGAAAATAATCATTTAAATTTGGTAATAACTTAATTACTTGTAACTTAATTACTTGTACTTAATCTTACACATCTCATACTTTTTACCTATAAGTTCTTCACTTAATAGTAGAAAAAATTTAGAACTTTGAGTTAACAGCACAAGAAAAATGTGAACAGATAAATCCATGTAATAATTAGTTCAGACCATTAATCTGTTTGAGTCTCAATCTACCCTGGCTGGGCGAGATCATTAACCAAATTCAAGATGCCGTTCATTGATAAAATTTAACTTCCGAATAAAACCACAGTAAGAAACGACCCCAAGGATTCATACAAAACACATAAAATGCAACTGCGTGTTCAGATAAAAAATGAGAGCAAAAAAATGGTTTTGAAAGGAAAGTAAAAGAATGTTTTTCTAAAGAAAAGGGAAGGGAAGGAAAAGATTTCTCTTATTAGGATAACTAAAAATTCAAAAAGTAAAGGATCATTATTGTTTGGTTTAGATTTACTTATTTAATTTAAAAAAGCGAATACTTACGAGAAAATAATCAACGATACATTTTATTAATAGAAACAACAGGTTAGATAGTTAAAATAGAAATATCACCTTTTTTAAATTTAAATCCTCTTTTCCTCTCTCTTCACCCAACTTCAAAGGAATGAGAAAATTAGAGTTTTACAGGAAAAAGAGGGATGCCTAACATTTCCCATGAACTAATTATTATATTTTTATGCAAACAAGTGAAACAATAGTGGGTATTCCATCCTTTCCTTTCTCCCCACCTTCCTCAATCCAAACAAGTTAAGAGTTAGGTATAATAATGATGGCAGCATTCATGTAAATAATCGTTGACAATATCAACATTCAAGTATTTAAAGGAAATAGAGTGCGAAGACAATGTTATCCATATAACTAAAGCAGACTGAACAAAACTGATAAATATTAACTATTCTGGGGTCTCTGGCCAAATAAATAAGTGTTCTACAAGCTGTGCCAACATTACAAACAGACTGGATCCAGATAAAAAAAATCATCTTTTTGATGTAGTATTAAGAGTACAGAACTGTTATAAATCTATAAAAAGAATGATTCAAGACTCCATAAAAAGACAGCTATTTGGCTTCAAGTCCAGAATTACAAAGGGACCAAGACAGTATGGTCCTCCATTAACTACATCCAATTAAGCAGATAAATCTTTTTAGAATTAATGATGTCTGGCTCCAGACCTAAGTTTTTTATAAAGGGTCATCCTCACTCTATTTATGAGGTTTCAGGAGACCTGATTGATATTTTGACATATTTACAAGGGCTTTGTATGTGGGTTGCTTATACATATTTTACTAAATCTTGCACTCAAAAGAATTAACAGAAATCTTTTAAAACTAATTGGAATAGTAGCTTGACATTCTCATGTTTATTATTCTTTCTGTTGCCAGTCAAGATTACTGTCTTTAAGATTTCACATAATATTATAATAATAAATGAAAATTTGTCTTTTTTTCCATTGTTATCTACATAGGAGGCCTCCTTAATCATTGAAGAAATAATCACTGTACCTAAGTAGCACTTACAGAACAGCAGTTTCACTGGTTTAGATCAAATTACAATTTCACTAGTCAAGTCTCCTTGTGATTCAAATAATGTAATTTCTTTTGTGACAGTTTAGTACTCCGTAGTTTTATTTATTTATTTATTGCACTTTGATATAAAAACCGATAGTTGTTTTAGCTATTATCTCATAACTATTTTGTTTTCTTTCCTTAATTTAATTTGTTAGACATTAGAAACTTTCACAAGTTCATGTTAGAAATCCAAAGACGTGCAGATGTTCCCAAAAGCCCTCTAGAAAACTAATAGTTCTATGTAAAAT